TAGAGATGCATATATTACCTGTTACAGCAGTAAAAGGGTCCTTAGGTCATCTAACAGTTTTGTGTTAGATAACTTAATTACATGAAATACAGTAGTTATGCTGGTATGTGTTAATGTAGACTATGCCATCTTTGACAAATGCTTTACCTACATCTTTGTAAAATATCTCACTTATGCACTCCTAATCCCTGAACTCTGGGCAATATGCACTCCTAACTATTACACGTTTTGCATTATGTGCTCCTGAACCCTGCATTCTGTGCAATACACACTACTGATCCTTGCGCTCTGAGTACATTATACACAGTACTCCTGAAGTTCTTATTTAAGGCACACAGGTCTGCACAGAAAATCATGAAATTCAAGTTTTGCTTTTTTTTAAAATGAGTATAGATTCTCACTTGTGGCACTATGATTCTTTTGCAAAAAATAAAGAAATGCATAATTAATAATATATATTAAAAAAATAAGCATTTCTTTAATATTTGCATTCAAGAGTGGAAAGCATTGCAATTGTGATCACTCGATCAGAGCTGCAAAGCTCAGGCTTCTTCACATTCTCTCCCAGGCAGAGCTCCGTACTGAGGTATAGAGTTTCAGTTAGGAGAGATGGGGAAGGACGGCTGGGCATCAATATTCATTAAATCACCTATTAAGCACTCAACACAAACTATTTCAATTAAAGTGACAGCAAACTTAGGAATTAAACCTAAAAAATGCATTCAAGTACCTTACCTATTAACAAAAATGTATCTTATTTGTGCATCACTCAGCTGTAGATCCTCAAATCCTCTCCGAATTGGTGCTGACACTGTCTGTCCTTCTGGAGGGTGGCTACTTTTGTTCCCTATGTTCCCTGTGTGTGTTGTAAAGTAGCCACCGCTCCAAGCTCACTCCTGTGATGGACTTCAACCTCATGTTTAGTTATCTAATTTGTATTGAAATTGTAGTCTATCAGGATAGGAGTGACCTTGGAGTGGTGGCTACCTTACAACACACACAGGGACCATGGGGAACAAAAGCAGCCACCCTCTAGAAGGAAGGACAGTGTCAGCACCAATTCAGAGATGATTTGAAGATTCACATAGTTATGGTACTCGAATGCATTTTTACGCTAGGTTCACACCTGCACTACATGTGTGGATTGCCGCGCGGTGAGGTGTCGCCTAGGTGTGAACCTAGCCTTAAGATTTAACTGCTGAGTTTAGTGTCACTTTAAGAATGCCATTACAGTTGCACCAGGAAAGGGATGGATTAGAGTGATAGATAGATAGATAGATAGATAGATAGATAAAAGATGCAATTTATCTTTCTAATCTCTATTAGTGTCACAAAACAAGCAATTGGAAGCAACACAGAGACAAAAAAAAAATTGTGCAGCTGTATGTGTACTGACTTTTACTGAAAATGTATTTTCAAAGTCACCAAGACATGGTACGGAGTAAAGGTGCCCATACACCTTACAACCATCGCAAGACTTTTGATACAAGATACTAGTATTGGTATTGGTGCATCCCTAGTGCATACCATTCAAAAAAAAGCTTTGTCAACCCGAAGTACCATATGCTGGATGCGCCCGAGAGTGTGGAAAGTGTTTTTGCTGGTCTGTTGCTGCTGGATTGTAGTTGAAAGCGATAGTGGGGCTATTTTAACTCTGTGAGTATGACCCTTTGTAAACAAGGGTCTTATCTCAAGGTGAGAAGGTTGATTCAATGGAGCACTTACACGGGTTATATAGTTACATAGTATTTGAGATTGAATAAAGACATAAGTCCATCAAGTCCAACCTATTGTGTGTGTATGTGTGTGTGTATAGGTCCCTGAGTCATCTCATTCTTAAGAGTACCTGTACCCTTGTACATTATGGTCTCTCAGGAAATCGTCCAAAAGCTTCTTGAATGATTTCAGACTATTTGCGGAAATCACTGCTTGTGGCAGCTAGTTCCAGACCCTAACCGCGCGAACTGAGAAGAACCCCCTTCGCCCCTTGTGTTTGAATTTTTTTTCTACCAGTTTTAGGTGGTGGCCTCTAGTCTTTGTTACGGAATTAATCTTAACGAGTTTGTTGCTAATGTTGCTATGACTATTGAACATCTTGTACATGAAAATCATGTCCCCCCTTAATCTTCTTACTTCAAACGTGAACATATTTAAATTTGGTAGCCTTGTCTCATAGTTCTGGTCCTCCATCCCCATGATGAGTTTGGATGCCCTCCACTGGACTTTATCCAGCTCAAGGACATCCTTTCTGTGTACCGGTGCCCAAAACTGCACCGCATACTCCGGGTGAGGCCGAACCAGTGATGTGTAAGGTGGCAAAATTATAGACTTGTCCCTGCAAAACATTCCCTTCTTGATGCAGGCAGGACTCTACTAGCTTTGCTTACAGCAACCTGGCACTGTAATCTAACACAAGTGTTCTTATTTGAAGCACAAAAGAACTTTGTTTCGTGTGTGATTGTTTCACATTATTTGGAGTTATATAAGAGACTGCTTTGGACTGGAATCGGACACTGTGTGGACATTGTTGTAGTAGGCGCACCTACAGGTCTTTGGGGCATATCTGTATGTTTTTTTTTCCTGTTGTATTTTTCTCACAGTATCAACACTATTTTCACTACAGGATAACCACCATTACTGGATATTTATCACTAGTGTTGTTTTGCATTTGTTGTTATCACCTATATATATTAATGGTTATGTTTTAATAAGCATGACACTTTAATGCTATTTCTGATTATCAAAAATAATACTTTTTTGCCGCTGCTACCTTGACATATTTAGTGCAGGGTTTTTTCCTTACATTGATACCTCTACTATACTGCTTGCTACTTGCTTTGCGAGGCTCTAACATGAGGAAGCCAAGCCTTGCCTTTACAAAGATGGCTACCTCCACACAGAGGCACAGTGTCTGTCATGGGGAAAGATCAGCTGCAGGGAGATAACAGACAACACTGGTGGCTAGACCTTTGCCTACTGCCTGGCCTTCTTTGGTAGAAAAATTATTGTTTTTCTGCCTGTTATATCAAAATCAGCCACAAGATAGAGTTGAAGAGAAAATATCTCTGTTTATAGCAGCTTAGACTTTCTTCCTTTAATAAAAAAAATCTCCCAGCACTACTCTGTCCAAAGAGAAGGAAACAAAAACATTTTGGGAATTCAGCCTCCATTTTAGAACAGAGGAAAAGAGAATCCACTGTCATCCTCAGCACGTCTGGATGAAAGTGCCCAAATCTGTTTTAGGCAGCAACACTGGTATGGATGGACATGTTTCTCTATATATTTATGAGCTGACACTATATTTACATAGTTACATAGTATTTGAGGTTGAATAAAGACAGGTCCATCAAGTTCAACCTTTGTGTGTCTGTGTGTGAGTTGTGCGTGAGTGTGTATATGAGTCCCTTTGTGGTCTAGTATTTAAGAGTATCTTTACCCCTGTATATTACTGTCTGTTCGGATGGTATCTAATTGATTTTTAAGTGAATCAATGTTCTTTGCAGATACCACTGCACCTGGCAGAGTTTCAAAATTTAACCGCTCTAACTAAACTAAACTAACTTAAGAAGCCCCTATGTCCTTTGTGGTTAAATTTTTTCCCCACCAATTTTAGGTGTACAAATTTACATGTTTCATATATTAATTTTATGTTTCTATGATCTTTTACCAGTTTCACTTAACATAACCCAGACCTGGCACAAATTGCACAAATCCCTGACAAAGTTCATTTAGTGCAGGGATTCCATGGGAAAAGAATATTGCAATTTGTGAATAACTTTGCTTTTCTTGTCACTTTTAAACAGAAAGACATTTGATTCCTATACCATACATTTAAATTACAAACAATTTGGACAAAACATAGCAGGTCCTGCTTTTTCAACAACTATAATGCACACAATTGCACCATAACTCGTATTCCATATTTACACACCTTTTATGATGTGGCAAATGGCATCAATAATTTGTACAGCGATACAAGCAATCATTCATTCAAAAAGCACAAATAATTGCTGGTTGTGACTGGCCTGTCTGGCATGCAGTATTTATTAAGAATGAAGTACAATATATTTCCATATCCGATTAGAGCCCATAAAACATGTTTCTATTTAGTCACAGTGATATAAACGTACCGCCATGGTTTGTTTGTCCTCATCGCTGAATGAACTCAATATTTCATCCCCTGAAGTGACCAGTTCATCTATTACATCTTTGTGCCTTAATATTTCCATCGTAAAGCCCTGCAAACAGAAAATACTTATCATTTCTTGTTCACTCTATAAAATAATGTCTTCTTCATTTACAGATAGCAGTACTAAATCCCAAACACATTTCATTACCTTTTGAACTTGTAGCTGAGCCGTGGTCTGGTCTTGCTCAAGCCGAATGTGACCAAGAGCCATTATTTTCTTTTTAGTTTCCTCAATCCATGTTTTCTCTGCACCAACAGCTTGTTCAAACTGGAACAATATAAATGAGATTATATGACATAATGCTGCAAGACAGCTATAAAGCTATAACAGCTCTTTATTAAAAGAGCAAAGTTGTCATTATGCCAGATACAGAAAAGCTCAAAATATGTTTAATCTCTAAACACCATGCCCATGAGTAAACACTAACAAATGAACCCAAATTTTTACTGTGTATCTACATAACAAAAGCTGTATGCATTGCATAAAGAGAAGATAAAACATTAATCATAAGATTATCAAAAAGCTGAAAAACATTCAGTGACCGCATATACTTTATGCATGGTTAATAATATCTGTCCGTTCGAAAGCTAATCATGTTCACCACATACACAAAAAAGGAGCAAAAAGGAGTACTAGTATACTGTATATCGAAGTGTATATCCTAACACTGTGCAAAAAAAAAAAAAATATATATATAATTTTTATGAGGTGGGGTGAGCTGCATAGGCTACGCTGTCCTTCTGTCTGTTGGATGCACTCCGCAAGCAGATTCCACTTTGCTTATATGAAAAAAGTCCAAGAAGTGTAGTATTCTGTTGCAAATTACTTTTCATTCCACATACAGCTGATTGGAAAAAAAACAGAAGTTTGCAACAGAATCAAGTGCTATGTTTCTTCGACAATGAGTTTGCATGTTCTCCCTAAGCTTGCAGAGGTTTCCTCCGGGTACTCCGGTTTCCTCCCACACTCCAAAAAGATGCTGGAAGGTTAATTGGCTCCTTTATAAATTGGCTTGCATGTGAGACAGGGACCTTAGACTGTAAGCTCCCTGAGGACAGGGACTGATGTGAATGTGCAATATGTAAATCGCTGTGTACATTGTCGGTGCTATATATAGATATATATATATATATATATATATATATCTGTAATAAATAAAGTGTGTGCACACCAAAGGTAAGTTATCAGAGCACAGAGTAGTCTGCAATAATTTAAAACTGTGTAACCCAATATTGCCTCCCTAAATGTATTCACCTTCTCTATATATTGAGTAAATAATTAAGTGTGTAAATATAAAAAATATGCTCTTTTTAGAACCAGCACAATTCTATGCTCATTCAGCTGTTATTAGGAATTATTTCTATTAGGATTAGGCATTTGTAAATATTAGTTAGACTTCAAGCAACAGATAATTAGAATACAATGACATGCACCATGACTCATATGGCTGCCAAGAAACTCGAATTAATGTTGACTGTTCTGAACACTAACAGACATCACTGTTTGGCAGTAAGCGTTTTTCTTTGGTTCTTGTGATACAATTAGCTAGCACAAATTGTACATCAGGCTATGTAAACATAAAATTAAAACATCAGTAACCATTAGATCACAGTCAAGGTCTAATAATAAACTGATTTTATTGCTTATATTAGGTAAGCAGCCAAGCGACCAGCTGTCATTTGCGGGGCGCCCCGCTTCGGCTGACACTTCGGCTCAGTCGAGCCAAAGCAAAAGCCTTCCGCTCGGCTAAGCCGCTCGGGCCCGCCTTCGGCTGCCTACGGGCTATTGTGAATAGCCCGTACACCAACCCTTTGGTTCGACTGAGCCCCCTAAATCCCATCAGGCATCTGCCTCCGGAGTCCGGATGTCATACCCGTGGCTTTCACTCTTGCAATGCCTAATAGGATTTGCAGTTACACCACAGCTGGAGGGCTGGAGTTTACCTACGTCTGATGTAGGACATCCAACTACTCCTGGTTCTCTGAAGCTCCATAGAGTACTGTAGAGGTTAACATTTCTAGATTCCTAGCTTTGAAGAATAAAATAAAGCTAGAGAATTCTTCAGACCATATACAATATAAAACAAAAAGGCACACCTCTCAACTAATGTGGTATGCCGTAATCATCCCGAATGAATGACAAACTCTACTTTCAGCACACTATGAGGATGACTAATGCTTTAAGGGATCTACATAAAGGCCTCTTTCACAGTGACATTTCTGACTGCTGAAGAAATGCAATCCTGAGGACCAGTAGTAGAAGAGATAAAAGTGTCCCTGTGATATTGTGCTTGTCGGACTGTGATGATAGTTCTCGTGGTTAATTTACATTTTTTGTCCTCAACGGATCTTTCTTTTGAGCTCTATTTCCAGTCCGGAGTGTAATATGAAACACACTGATCCATTTCTTTCCGAATCTTTTAATGTTTTTTTGGTCTCACAAACATCAAAGCTGGTTTGACAGTTTGATGAATGTGTTCGTATTTTAACAATCTTTGGTATTCTTTAATCACGTAGCTTGTTTAACAATACATAATAGAAGAAACACAAAGTTTTCCTATGTGGAAATCACAGTGAATTATATGTATATTCATGCAGTTATATTTGTGTTTTAATCATGGTGAGTTCCTCATTGGAATATTATGTTTTTGTGGTTTTAACTAGAAAAAGCAATGATTTGTTTCTGCACATGCTGCTATCCAAAATTGTCAGATTTATGAAACTAATGATAGTGTATACTGACAAATGTTTACACACACATTTACATATGTTGATTTTGTTTATTTTATGGTTTGTAAATTTTTTGTAGATACTATGATTTTATAATAGATCCAGTAGATCTCACAGATAATAATGAGTTATCCCCACTAGATGAAACAACCTGTAATAAAAAAAGAACATTCTCTTCTGTGCTAAAAAAACATGCTTTTATTGCTGCCTGTATACCAATTGGAGAGATTCTAATCCCAGTGCCCACACAAAAAGTGAGAGAAATCTCCCCAAACAGCAATAAAAACCAAACCAGAGCTCAAAGCCTTCTGCTCTGAAACAAAAAAAATAGGGTAATGTTTTTGGTTGTTGGCTTTAAAGTTTATTAGAGGATCAAAGCATTTATACTCTGTTATTCATGCACACATGGGCATTTGTTTATACCAGGCATGTTTATGCTGGTGGTTTTGGGACACACGTGGCCCTCTTGAGTTCCTTGCTTCCAATGAGTAATTATAAAAAAAGAATATGATCCCAATTTGTTATGCTTCCTTACAAAATGTTTTCATCCAATACTCTAAATTATGTTTTTTCTAAGAGCTCTATTATGGATAAAATATTGTATTAAATGTTGTGGTTTTAATTGCAGTTGAAGAGATGTAGTGTTTAGACCTAATGTAGGCGACCCTGAAGATTTGTTCTACTCTGTTTATCCATGTTTCTTCTACAACTGGCATGTGTTGTCTAGATACATGAATAAACTGGCTAAATTCAAGGTAGGCAGATTGTAATGCAGGCATTTGGTTGATTACACCAATACAATGAAGAGGCCAGCAAACACAGAGACAGGTTACAGCCGCACAGGCAATAATATCTTCCCTCTGTTCAAGTATATCTAAACTGAAAAAATAAAATGTAATATGTAGGGGGGCTTTTCAGTCCTTAGATGAGGTGGCTGCATTAGTTTTCCTTTTTTTTACCTTTATTTTTACCTGATAATCCTGCAAAAAAACACATTTCCTGTCCCTGGGTGGCTGCACTTATTCCTCCACTGTATCTATAGGGAAAACCATGGCTGCCTCCCAGACAGGACTTAAAACTTGTCTGCCTTTGTTCAGCTACATTAAATAGATGATGCAGGGATTATCCGTTTACAGAAGGAAGATAATTATTGTTTGTGCATTCAGTTCAGCTCACAGGAAGTGTCAAGGACATAGCATTTCTAGCAAGATCTACCAGTATTTTTTGTACTTCCTAAAAAGGTTCTTAGCCTGAAAAAATGAACGATTGAAGCCATCACATCTACGGACTGGTAAGCAGCAATATATAACTTTTTTGTTTTTGGGTGTAGTTATCCATTAAAATAAAATCAATGTTTTAAGTGGGAAAGTACTGTAGGTACTGTATGATTTTTCTGGTAACACACAGGCTGGTTTCTAGGAAGATCTATTTAATGAACATTCGTTATTTAAAAGATTCTAAGGGAACATATTTGACAATTTGTTTATGTAATGCATTCAGTTTGGGGGTGGTAGGCCATTCTTTCTGATTGTTTGTGCTTTTAAGCTATAATTGCCCTATATGGTAAAAGACTGATTGTGTTTATAACATTTTTCAAAAGCAACTGGCAGCAGCAAATGATTTTCTATCAAACTAGAAAATCATTTTGACAAATCTTACCAATTTTATCTGTTATCACTGACTATTCTTTCAAAACAAAACAAATCCTTGTCAAATCTTCCCACACATGGGTTCATATATAGCCAGCCTATCACTGAGTAAATTTATATTTGCTGATGTTTGGTTTTAAATGAAATACATAAAACAAGGCATTTTTATATATA